CTCTGGGCATCGCAGATGACTAGAATGTGGGAGACAAGGAAGCAGACAGGAGGGCACTCCACAGAGGAACAGCTCCAGAAACATACAGGGGGGTCTTCAAGACCACAGCTAAATACCGGTCCACGCAGGAAGAAGGTGGAACTCCGCAGGGCCAGAGAAAAGAATGTCTGAGTGAAGAAGGATTCCAAGGAACTGAGGAAAATCAACATCCCACAAACACAGGTGCAAGAATGAGTTGAGACGCCAAACAACGGGGGAAGAATAGTCTTCGACAAATGGCTTTGGGATATTGGATGTCCACATGCAGAAGAATAAAGTGGGTCTTCATGCCACACATAAGGTTCTACCCAAAATGGATCAAAGACCTAAACGTAAGAGCTAAAATTGTGCAACTCTTAGAAGATGTGCAAATCTCTGTGATTTTGGCTTTGACAATGAATTCTTCTCTATACACCCAAAGATCATGCAACCAAAGGAATAGACAAATTGAGCTTCAACAAAGTTAAAAACTTTGGTACCTCAATGGACATTATCAAGGAAATGGAAAGACAAGATACAGAACGTGAGAAAAGACTCGCAAATCACATATCTGATAAGAGTCTGGTATCAACAATACATAAAATACACTAATAACACAAAAACGCAAATAGCCCAATTTTAAAAAGGGAGATGACTTGAATAGACTTCCTTCAGGGAAGATATAAAAATGGCCAATAAGCACATGAAAATATGCTCAATGTCCCCGGTCATTAGGGAAGTGCAAATCAAAACTGCAGTGAAATAGCGCTTCATATTCATTAGGATGGCTAGAATCGCAAAGCCAGATGGTAACAAGGGTTGGTCAGGATAGGGGGCAATTAGAACCCTCACGCACTGCCGGTGGGAATGTAAAACGGCACAGCTCCGAAAACCATAGTTTGGCAGTTTATCCAACAATTACACTTAGAACTATTTAATACCATATGACCCAGCAATTCTACTCCCAGGAGAAAGGAAAACATATGTTTCTATGAAAACATTTATTCGCAAATGTCCCTAGCTGCATCATAAAACCCAAGAAGTAGAAACAACTCAAATGTCTACCTTTGGATGAACGGATAAAAAAAGGTGGAATTATCCACACAATGAAATATTATTCTGTCATAAAAAGAAATACAATGCCAACACACGCTACCACATGGGCAAACCAGGAAACAGTATGCTGAGGGAAAGAAGCAGTCCCAAGAAACACGTGTGTATGATTCCATTTCCACGGAACACCCGGACAGGCAAGTCCGTGGAGATGGGAAGTGGACGAGAGGCTCCGGGGCGGGGAGGGAAGGACCAGGGGTGAGGGCTGACAGGCGTGGGGACCTTTGTAAGATGATGGCCATCTCCTGGAATTAGATAGTGGTGATGGTTTCACAGCCTTGTACATTTATTAAAACCCATTGTGTGTGGTAAAAGGGACTTTGCAGATATAATTCAGTTAAGGATCTGAGATGAGCAATTACCCTGGATTATCCGGGTGTGCTCACTGTTAGCACAAGGGTCCTTAGAGGAGAGGGGCTGGGGTGCGAGGGAGGGAGGCAGGGAGAGAGAATATTTACGACAGAAGCAGAAGAGGTTGCGCTGCTGGTTTTGAAGGTGGAGGAGGGGCCACGAGTCAAGGAATGTGGAGGCCTCTGGAAGCCGGAAAAGGCAGGGACAGATTCCCCGCCATGAGCCTCCAGAAGGAACCAACCTTGGTTTAACCCCATGAAACGCACTGAAAAGCAGAGCTGGAATGAAGTGTCTGAAGCTGTCTCAGCAAAACCTGCGCTCTCAGCTGTGGTTGTGGGTTTTTGACCAACAAATGAAAGCATCCTAAGACCCCAGGCACCATCCGCCGAGGCAGGAGCGAATATCTGTTTCCTGCCCCAGCCCTACAACCAGAGAATGCGTTTCCTCACAGCTTTCTCCTCCAACTCAAGGAGGGAAAGCATTTGGAATTATTTTACTTCTCCCCTCACTCAATGGAACTTTGGAGCCATTCTTCCCACCCTTGCCAAGCACAGGGCTTTCCCGTCTGCGGGTGCGTGTGCAGGTTGTGGGGTGCGCACAGATGCAGGGAGGGCATCTCGCCAATGGACAATGGGATATTCACGGCCACGGCATGAAGTGACACCACAATTCCCTAAACTGTTTGCTGAGGCTGCTCACTGGGACGTGGCACCGGCCTGGTAAGCAAAGCCCTGGGAAGCCAGCTGGCTGCTGTACTTGGCCACAGCCGTGGTGATGACGGCGGCAAGGAGCATGGAGCGAGGGCTGCGCTGGCTGCCCTGGGCTTTCAGAAAGGAAACATCAAGATCTGAGCTTGAGTCACCATCAAAACGCTGGAGACCTTCTGTCCCGGCCTTAGAATCAGATTTCATTCTTGCAGCCACGGAGCAGAAATGGCTGAAAATCAGACCCCACATTTAACAGTGTGGGTTGCACGGTGAGTTGGGTTCAAAAGTCTCCAAGTGCTTTATGTGAAAGTTGGGTCGTCGATTAAGGAGTGGGACCATGACACACAGAACTGGGACATTTATATGAGCTCGGATGAAAGCACGCATCTTGATCCCCTTCCCAATCCCCCCGAACCTGCCTGGGCAGAATCACCCCCTCCTTCATTGCGTGAGGAGACGTGACTCCCCATGGCTCCCCAATCTCAGACATCTTCCTCTGAGGCAGTTGTGTGGGGTCGGATTCTACGGGCTTTATGCAAAGAGAACCACTCTCCAATGTGGACCCAAGCTCAGCGTGTCAGTGTGTGTGTACTGAGCACAGCAGAGCTCTCAGCACGGGATGGCTCCGCTCAAGCCCCTGCACCAGAAGGCAGGAGATGACCAAGCTCTCTCGGCTTGCAGCAGCACGAGGCATGTCCCTGGGGAGGCCCCAGGCCCCCTGACTGCCTGCCTGAGAGCTCAGCACTGCAGGAAAATTTGCTGTGTGTCCTGGCCAGCACTCAGCCACACCTTCTTAGAGTGTTTGCTAAAAAGGGCTTACACCTGTGCCTCCTTCCTCTGCCCCTTGAGAAGTTCATGTTTCTCCTACAATGCAGAAGTGTCTCTCAGGCTGGGCACAGTGGCTCACGTCTGCAATCCCAGCACTTTGGGAGGCTGAGGTAAGTAGATCACTTGAGGTTAGGAGTTTGAGACCAGCCTGGCCAACACGGTGAAACCCTGTCTCTACTAAAAATACAAAAATTAGCCAGGTGTGGTGGCAGATGCCTGTAATCCCAGCTACTCAGGAGGTTGGTGCTGGCTTCCCCGTGGAGGTCGTATGGGGCACGCAGCACTTTCTGAGCTACACGTGTGTGCACGGGCTCTTCGCACTCATCATTGGTGCAGCGTCTGAAGACTGGTGCAGTGCCAGCCCTCGTGGTCACGTCCACCCTCTGCAGGTGACACCTGCTGCAGCCATGTCACCCCTGGAGCCTGGCAGATGGGAGATGGAGCTGGGCATGGGTGGCACCAGCTACAAGAACCTCAGACCCCTCGTAAGAAGCGAGCTTCGTCTTGAGATACAGAAAGCGGAGCCCAAGCGGAATCAGGTTTCTTTTATTTTTTATCTTATTTTTTGAGACAGGGTGTTGCTCTGTCTCCCAGGCTGAAATGCTGTGACATGTTCATAGCTCACTGCAGCCTTCATTTCCTGGGCTCAAACAATCCTCCCACCTCAGCCCCCCAAGTAGCTGGGACAACAGGTGTGTGCCATTAAGCCCAGCTAATTTTTGGGTAGGGGTAGAGATGGGGCTTGCTATGTTGCCCAGGCTGGTCTCCAACTCCCAGCTTCAAGTGATTCTCTCACCTCCGCCTCCCAAAGTGCTGGGAACACAGGCACGAGCCACCATGCCCAGCCAGAATCGACTTTTTTGAAAATGCAGTCTTGAAGCAGTGTTCAGGCCCAGCTAAGCCCAACCCCTTCTTCCTGAGCAACTGATTGGTCCACACAGCAGCTCGCCCTAGTCACACGGTCCCTCTCCGGGGCCACTCCCCACCAGCCCTCATTGCCCTAAGGCCAGATAGCAGACAATCAGGGATGGCCCCTATGCCCTGGAGCAGATAAATGACTCCTGTTAGCTGGCCACGGGCAGCCACGTCCTCACCCGCTACCCCCTCCGCTCCCTCTACATAGGCTGTCCCTGAGCTCCAACAGCTACTGTCCTGTCCCGGGTGCAAGCCAACCCATGTGGCCCTGCCGGGCCGCCGCTCTCTCCTGCAGAACAATGAGTCACTAAGAGTCTGCCTCTCCTCACTCCCAGCATGACTGTGGTGCTGCGCCGTCTAAGGAAACCTTAAATCCTACAAATCGCCAGGCTCAGGAAAGGCGCCTGAGTGAGGTGGCACCTGTGGTGGCTGTCCCCAAGCTGGGAACATGCTGTCCCAAACCTGCCCATGCACAGAGAGGGACAGCGTTGGGCCAGGCCCTGGGGGGCAGAGCTGGTGAGGTTCGCCTGAGGACAGGGCTGGTGAGATCCAGCCTGGAGCTGCTGTCCCCTCCCCCCACATCCAAACTCAGGGTCCGTGCCCAGGGCCCAGGTGGCCCTGCCCAGTCCCCGTCTGGGGCAGCAGCTGCACTGAGTCCCAGGCCTTTGGGTCTTACTTGTGCGGGACCAAGGAGCAGAGCCCTGCCCCACCCTGCTCACTGCCAGAGCCTGAGCTCCATGGGCGGCTGACCTGCAGGAAGCACCCCAGGACCCTCAGGCCCAGCCCCCAGCACCCACCCGCCCGCCAGGTCCCTCGCACCGTTGACCTGCAGCACCCACCATGGAGAACTGGGCCGAGGCTGGTCCTCTGTCCTTCCTCCCACTTCCCACCCTCTCCCTGCACCCAAGGGAGCACCCAGCCAGCCCCCACCCCAAAGGACCCCACAGATAGGCGGAGTCACCAGGAACTGCTGAAGCTCTTTATGAAGAACCAGGAGGGGGACACAGAGCGGGAGGAAGGGGGGCGCTGGTAGGACGGGGTGCAGCCGCCCGGGTTCTGCAGGGGCGAGGGGGCTTTCTCCATGTCCCTGTGAACAACGGAGGTGCTGGGTGGTGCCATCCTTGGGCTGCTGAGGAGCCAAGGTGCCCTCTGCCCTAGAAAGGGGGGAAGGGTGAGTGAGCCCAGGACAGGGAGGGTGGGAGGGGGATGCTTCGTGGGGGCGCATGCGGGCTCTTGGGTGCTGCAGTGTGGGGGCGCATGTGAGCTCTCAGGGGCTACGGTGTGGGGGAACATGCCAGGCTCTCAGGGGCTATGGTATGGGGTACACCTGTGGGCTCTAGGGGGCTGCAGGGTGGAGGTACATGCGGGCTCTCGGGGGCTGTTGTGTGGGGGGCACATGCACAGTCTCAGGGGCCAGGGTGTGGGGGCACACACAGGCTCTCGGGGACTATGGTGTGGGGGCACACGCCAGGCTCTCGGGGCTATGGTGTGGGGGGCACATGCAGGCTCTTGAGGGCTATGGTGGGGGTCACACATCCAGCCCTCGGGGGCTATGGTGTGGGGGGCACACACTAGGCTTTCGGGGGCTGCAGATGGGGGCTCCAGCCTCCGGATTGGAGCAGATGGGGCAGGGACCCCCCGCAGGCTGCCCACAGAGCTCCCTGCTGAGTGAAGAGATGTCAGGTGGCTGCAGACCAAGGGGAGGGTGTGGGAAGGACAGCAATGCGGTCGGGATTCTGGCTCCGCCCACACCTGGGCAGGTGACCTCAGGTGAGTCTGAACCTCTGGTTCCCTCGTGCAGCCAGCGAGGGTCCCATCTGACACAGTGAGCACAGGCATACTTGCCGCTTTGCTGAATCTGAGCAATTCATGGGGTAAGCGGGGTCACAAGGACGGCTGAGGGTGAGGGGTGTTGAGGAGGAACCTGAATCTCCCGCCTGCTCCCACGAACGGGGCTGTGGGGTAGACACCGTCTCCGCCAGCAACCAGCAAAGGCAGGCTTGGCACTGCGGGCTTCCCAGCTGCCCAGGAGTCACGCCCAGGGCAAGAGCAGAGGCTGGTGCCCAAGTGCAGGTAGCTCAGGAGCAGAGCTCGCACTTGCCTGGCCCACACGGGGCGTCTCCCACCCAGGTAGGAGTGGGGTGGGTGGGAGAGACCCCTCGGCCTCTTGAAGCGCCACTGAGCCCCAGGGCTGGTTTTCTCAAGCGTCCTCTAAAGCTGTTCACTCACCCTAATCGCTCCCTGGAGAGCAGGTTTCTGCAGGAAAATGAAGCACAGGTGAGTCAGGAGGCCCCAGGAATGCAGTCAGGACTGGGGCCCTCATCGGCCGCCAGCTCCACCACCCCAGGAAGGACAAAGCCAGAATTACACACAGCGCAACTATGTGCCCGAGCAATGCGGCTCTGCCAACGTCCCCACGCAGGGACGTGGGGACTCCACAGGGCCATTCTTCCTACCGCTCTGCCTGGGGATGAGGATGTTCTCCGTGCTGAGCCCACGGGCTCCTGCAGCCTTCACAAAGTCCTCCAAGGCTTCCGGGTTGTTCTCGGGGTCTCTTCCTATGGGTACCAGGATGAGATGTGGGTGCTCCCAGCAGCACTGGGCAGTCGCTGGCACCCCTGTCCCAGCCTGGAGGGCTGAGCTGGGCTGGGGAGGGAGACCTCACCCACCACGGGGGGACTTGAACCCAGAGGCCCTCAGGCTGGCAAAGTGGGACCAGGGCACTGTGGACAGCTCGGGAGGCTCCCGCGGCAGCAGAACTGGGAGAAGTGGGAAGGGCTCTCCATCTGTGCCGGAGCATCTCCCAGAGTGAGGATGGACGGACGGCAGGACGGGCCGCCCTGAAGGAAGCGCCTCTCCCCTCTGGGGCAGCAGGGCACCGCCTGTCCCACTCCTCTGTGATTCGCACACCCCTGGCTCCAGGGAGAGCTCAGGAGCCTTCGCGGGCCTCATCCTCAGGCAGGGACGGCACTGACGCACCACTGTCTGCAGGCACCACCTCGTCCAGAGTTCAACCCCAGGAGCTGGAATGTCCTTTCCACGCAGACTCCTGCTCACATCCCCCTCCTCTCCCCTGCTGGACACCCCGCAGGAACGCGCCCAAGGATGACGCTGCAGGGAGCTGCCCCAGGGGAGGGCCTGGTCCACCTGGTGACACATGTGACCTCTAAGCTCCTGTGCTGACAGCCGCGGCTCCTTCCTGCCTCCACCGCAGACCTAGGCCGGGACATCCTGAATCCTGAACTCCAGGGCTGGGAATTGGGGCTTTTATCAGGAAAACCCTTCCTAAGGAAACTGCAGTAGGTTCCTGGGTCCCAGTGGCTTCTCCCGTGGAAAGAGGGTGCAGGAGACTGAGGGAGGAGGGAGGGCAGGAGAGAGGCTTGGGCCACAGGGTGGGGGTGCGGGACCCACCCATGAGCTCCACCACTCTGGTCAGCTTCCCGTGTAGCTCGTCCTCACAGTAAAGGATGTAGTGGTCCTTCACGTGCGACCTGATGACGTACATCAAATGCTTGCCCCCATCTGCAGAAGGACAGCAGCACAGTTCTGAATTAGCCACTGGAGCCTTCAGAGAGGATCCCGGGACAGAGTGTGGCGCTGGGCCCAGCAAGACCCGCAGCTTCTGCACCCTCCCAACTTCCCAGAGATCTCCCAACAGGCCTGAGTCCCAGGCCATGGGACCCCCACTTCCCAGGAACCCGGCGCACCCGAGAGGCGGCCACATCCCAGACCAGTGAGGCATGGGAGGTTCCAGGTGTGAGGTCTGCGGAGGTGGGAGTTGGGGTACAGCCCCCGCAGCCAAATATGACTGTACTCCTGGCCCCACCTGGGCCTCAGCCAGAGCTACAGGGACAGTGCAGAGGGTCCGTCCCACCACACCTGGTGTTTGGAGTCAAGGGTTCACGTCTCTAACACAAATTGATCAGCGGGAAGGGAGAGTGGGCTTTTAATGGGGTCAGAAGGCAGCAGGCCAAAAGGCCACCCCAAAAAGGCACTGGCTGACCCCCACTTTCAATATGTGTTTGAGCTCAGGCTCCGGCTCAGACTCCAGGACTCACCAGCCGTGTATTTTCCTGGCTCGTCAGTTTTCTCCAGGATGGCCTTCATCTCCTGGCACTGGCCATTTATCCTGGAAAACAGAAGCTCCCTGGCAAAGCGTCCCTGGCCTGTGCCTCCCCCGGCCTGGGAGCAGCCACGCCGCAATGCCCTGCAAAGGCGGCCCCAGGTCTGCCACACGCCCATGGAGGAGGGTGCTTCTCTGCATCTCAGACCAGGCGCCAGCGGCCCCTCCAGGCCACACTGGAGTTCCTGTGGTCTCCCGAGGTGGCCAGGAGCTCTGCACCACTCCTGGTGGCTGCCTTCCTAACCCCCCTGCCATGTTTGCTGCCAGAGGGACCTGGGCTGCCTGGTTTGCAGGCAGTGTCTGTGGCGTGGGGCTGAGCCCTCATCCCACCAGGTGCTTGCTTCCTTTTGGAGATATTCAGGATCAAGCCCCACGTCTACCATCATCTGTCCCAGAGGGAAAGGTTGAGTTGGGGGCTTTCGGGAAAACAACAGACAAACATCAGGGTCATTGCCAGGGTCAGTGACTTCCTAAGGGCTGGTCCCCAGGACCAGAGCACAACACAGGGGGAAGCTACGCGGGGGTGAAATCACACTGGTGGGAAGTGGCACAGGTGGGAGTCACACAGATGAAATCATACAGGTGGGAAGATGTGCAGATGGGAACCACACATGGTGAAATCACACAGGTGGGAAGATGTGCAGGTGGGAGACATGTGGGTGAAATCACACAGGTGGGAAGTGGCACAGGTGGGAGCTATGTGGGTGAAATCACAGAGGTGGGAAGTGGCACAGGTGAGAGCCACACAGGTGGGAAGCTGCACAGGTGGGAGCCACACAGGTGAAATCGCACTGGTGGGAAGTTGCGCAGGTGGGAGTCACACAGGTGGGAAGGTGTACAGGTGGAAGCCACGTGGGTGAAATCACACAGGTGGAAAGCTGCACAGGTGGGAGACATGTGGGGGGAAGCTGCACAGGTGGGAGCTACACAGGTGAAATCACACAGGTGGGAAGCTGTGCGGGTGGGAGCCATGTGGGTGAAATCACACAGGTGGAAAGCTGCACAGGTGGGAGCTACACAGGTGAAATCACACAGGTGGGAAAATGCGCAGGTGGGAGCCACGCAGGTGAAATCACACGGGTGGGAAGCTGTGCAGGTGGGAGCCATGTGGGTGAAATCACACAGGTGGGAAGTGGCACAGGTGGGGGCCACACAGGTGGGAAGTCACAGATGTGAGCCACGTGGGTGGAAGTGGCACAGGTAAGCACTACACAGGGACTTCAAAGGCATCTTCTCCATGATGTCCTACGTCCCCTCTTGGTCATTCTGCAAGCCTCATCCCCGAGCTTCTCCAGAGCAGAAGTTTACTGCCAGGGCTACGAGTCCACAGTCCATGGGCCCTGCCTGCGGGTCTGACTCTGGTCTAAGGTAAATGCCTTTTCCCAAAGGGTCCTGCACAGCACCAGACATTCCCCAGTGGGCGAATGAATTGGGCAGTACCCAGCACTGCCCCTGGTAGCCCACGGGGTCTGATCCGGGGCCTCTGCCCCCCAGGCCCCCCCAGCCGAGGCACTTCAGTGGCACAGTTTGCCCTAAAGCATTACAGGAGGGGCTGAGAGGGTCCTCCCAGCAGGTCTGCCCACCTCCCCAGCACCAGAGCGCTCCCGGGTGGGGAAATGAAGGCCCATAGACCAGGTTGCGGGCTGCCCAGCTGGCTGGCGACACTCACAGCATGGTGACCTTGGCTTCCAGGTTGCCCCCTTCCAGGGTCGTGAGGGTCATGGGTGTCATCGATTCCAGATTCATCTCAGGAAGCTCCCAGTCCACCATTATGGCCTTTAGATACCATGTCCCTGATGCCTGGAGAAGTTCCTCTACATCAGGCTCAGGCCGACCGCTCCAGAGCCTCTCCCTGCTTCCCTGGTCTGCAGCCCTCAGACTCTACCCCACCCCGAGGGCTGGAGACGAGGTGCATTCCCCAATCTGACCCACCCAGACACCCAGCGCCTCGCCAGGCCCACCTGAATTCCAGTCCCTGCAATTCAGCCAGGACCACGGGAGCCCTCACCCCCAGGGGAGAAGTGAAGTCAGCCGGACACCCACCCTCCCAGCCTTGCCCCTCTGTGCCCCCACCCCCCAGCCCAGACTCCTGCTGCCCCTTCTCACCATTCCCTTGGGACAGGGCTTTAACACCCAACCCAAAAATGAGGGTCTCCTTGGATGGGGGAAGGATGGGGTCTCCATCCAGCAGTCTCAGCCTCACCCCACACCCACTCCAGCCCACCCTTCCCATCCGAGCCTCACATCCTGAATATCCTCGTCCGAGACCAGGAGGTGGTGGGCCTGCAGGGCAGCAATGAGGCTGAGGCTGACAGTCAGGAGCAGGGCCTTCATCTCCAGGGTCTGAGTTCACGGCAGCCTGATACGTGGCTTGCTGGGGCTGGGAGAGGCTGTGCTGCTTCTCCCGTGGCTGCCCTTTATACTGCTGGGCTCAGGGTCCCCTGGGTACCTGGCACAGGTGACTGACCAATCCCTTCCTGGATGTAAACACGGCCAGTTCTGCAATGGAGCAGATAACGTGCCATTGTTGGAGGCTGGTGAATAACAGCCTGTTAATCCCACAGGATCATCCGGACAGGGCCACGTGCAGAGGAGCGGGTCTGCAGATTTCATCTGGGAGGAAACTGAAGGGAGTGAAAGGCGTGCAGGCCTCCTGGGGACGTGTGTGGCAGTAACAGGCGCCCTCCAGCCATCCCACACGCACTGGTGTGCACACCACCAAAGGGGTTTTGGGTTGGAGTCCGAGGGCCATGGGCTTGGGGCTCAGCTGAACTTCCTGCATCTCTGGGCAGGTTACTTGGCCTCAGATTCATCCTGGGAAAAGAGGAACCCTGCTGTGTGAACATGGTACCATGTGCATTTAAGGAGGGTGTCCACACTCCTCAGCAAGGTGTGCAATAAGGACCTTCTCTGCTCCACACACAGAGCAGCAATAGGTCAGACAGACAGAAGACCAAGATAGGTGAGTGTGTACATGCATGTGCGTACATGCAGACATGCATGCATATGCGCACACACACACACATAAAACCAGGAATGGAGGAGAAGTGCAGGCTGGTGATGGGGCTGAGGTGGGCCTGTTGGCTCCAAGTCCCAAGGCAGGCAGAGAAGGCCAGGGTCCAGCTCCTGGGAGTGATGGGTGCGGCTTTCCTGAGTCCAGGCAGGAGGCTGGAAGCCCTTCCTGACACATCCAGGGCTGTAACTTCTTATAACTGAGTGGACTCTGTGGCATAGGAGGGCAAGAGGACAGCGACGCAGCCGTGAGAGCAGAAGCTGAGATGAGCCATCCTCAGAAAGGGTGACTTTATCTGTGACACCCTCCACATCACTGCAGAGCAGAAGCCTGGGACCCAGGATGGGGCAGAGGCTACGAAAC